CCGAAAATTCAGGTTATTTCGTCTTTACGTCAAATGTCGTTGTAAGCGGACGTAAAGTTTAGTTGCGTCATCAATCGTGCATGGATTGTGAACATTAATACAGAAAGGTGCTCACTTCTCATTTTGTGAAAATTTCCGAGGGACAGAATCAATTACTGTGGGTGTACAATTGAAAGAATTGTATGCGCTACATTATGTTTACATAACTTCGTTAAAATAGAATAATCGACAAGTAAGCAGCGTTATTATTGTCCAGATAATTATGTAGATCGTTATGATGATTCAGGACGTGTCATTCTTGGTGACTGGCGAGTAAACTGTCCTCAGATTGATGAATTAGGTCGCACAGGGACAAATCGTTCTACACAAGCGAATATTGATTTACGAAATACTCTTGCTGATTATCTTGTGTCGCCAGAAGGAGAAGTAGATTGGCAGTATAATTATGTAAAACGAGGAAGTTTTTAAAATGTATGAATATATTAACTATCAATATATGCATTTATCACAACATATAACAATACATACTTAGTGAGAAATGGTACAGCAAATCACATCAATTCGACGTACCATTTCTCACTGGATATATCCTTTCTTTGGTCTTGTGTTCAACTAATCGTGATCGTCCTGTTGCTGTAATAAAGAAATACAATTTGTATATTAAACAATATGTAAAAGTATGTAAATTTATGTAATAAACTATTTTTACTTTTTAAACTAATATTTATGACATATTATATGTACATATCGTATACCTTAATTTTCCGAGTCAGACTCGAATTCATAGAGAAGTTGAGAAATTTTGAATTTCACGTTTTTCACTTTTGTCTTTGTCATTTTTTTCATCGATCCGTATAATGAAATGCAAAAATTCCAAAGAGCATCATCTTTTGTATCGTCTTTTTTTACGATTGTTTTTTCTACGCCTTCGAGCATGGAGATAAGACGTTCCTCAGGAGGTAAAGGTTGAGGTTTTTTTTTTCTTCTTTTGTTGATTTTCTATCTCCAACAATGGTCGTTTCTTATTGAAATTCAATTTTTCGGTACATTTCGAAGTTCCGTCGTCCCCTGTTTCCTTTTCTATATTTAACAGGTAGTTGCGAACATCTTTATCTATGCATTCTACTGATTCGTCCAATACATCTAACTGAGTTTCTGGTGAGTTCTCATCGACATAAAGAATATCGTCTGAAAATTTATTCTTCTGACTGGCATTCAATGCTAAGTTACCAATTGACCTGTACATAACATTATTCCATATATATTACACTAAGTACAACAAAATAGAACATACTACAAAAGTTATTCTTACTTTCTATTTTGTACATGGGGTTGTAAAAATAGTAGGGTATTATATAAAGACCATTCAGTTTCCTGGTTTTCTGACGATGCACCAGACCCAGAAGGAATGTTTGCTTTTTGTCTCCTAACCTTGCTGAAACGTTTTCTTAGAACTTTCCAACGTCGCATAGCATCTTCCGCTGCAAATAAATTAAATATTTTATTATTTTTTTATTAAACAATTCGACAAATTAAAACAACAATTATAGACTTACAGCTGACATTCAATCGATCGCCAATAGACTTCCATGAATTATTGCAAAGTACCTTGTCTTTAAAACCCGGTAATTTTTTATCGTATAAATGAGGATTACTCTCCACCATTAAAATTAACAAACGATCTAATTCTTCGCTCATCTTTTTACTTCGTATTCGAAAATACAATCACTGATACTCGCAAAACAAACACTAAACTTTCGAAATAAAAGTAAGGTTAAGGATGCAGCTCTGTGATTGGTTATAAGGACCACGATCACATACTGAAAAGTACTTCAATGTAAACCACAAAGAATTTCTACGTCTGCGTCTACGTCTACGTCTATGTCTACGTTACGTTCTACGTCCAATGTAAACCACCCTTTAGGCTACGTAATATCCCCAAAGGGAATAACTTTAAGTGACAAACATGTTGAAGCAATTAAACGTTTTCCCGTTCCAAAAAACGTTACTGAATTACAGAGATTCTTAGGTCTCGTAAATTTTTTCCGCCGGTTTATCAAAGACCTTGCCACTAAAGCTAAACCGTTGCATTCGCTGCTCAAGAAAAATACGAAATTTAAGTTTGACCATAACTGTATTACAGCATTCGAACAATTGAAATCTGACTTGTTTTCATACCCGGTATTGAGACCCTATCAGCCTCATTTACATACTGAGCTGCATACTGATGCAAGTTCTATCGCGCTCGCCGCGATACTCTTACAAAAACAGGATTTCGGCGCATTAGCCCCTGTGGCTTATTACAGTCAATCCACTAACGAAGCCGAAACTAAATACCATTCTTTCGAGTTGGAAATGTTGGCTATCGTAAAGGCCACAGAACGGTTCCACATTTATTTGACCGGAATACCCTTTAAAGTCGTTACGGATTGTAACTCATTAGTGCTCGCCATGAATAAAGCTAATATCAACCCATGGGTAGCTCGCTGGATCTTGCGATTACAAAATTATACGTTTTCAATCCAACATAGGAGCGCCCAAAAAATGACACATGTAGACGCATTAAGCCGAATAGTTGCGTCCATAAATACTATACCTCTCGAGAGCTACAACTTAGACAGTTAGCAGATCCGAATATTAAAGTTATCGCTCAGCAATTAGAAAAACATACGCATCACGAGTATGATCTTATAGATGGATTAGTCTATAAAAAAGAATCCGATCGCGCTAAATTTGTAGTGCCAGAAGGTATGATTCATAAAATACTTTACATCTATCACGACGAATCTGCCCACTGTGGTACCGAAAAAATTTACCAAGGCATTAACGCCAACTATTGGTTTTCAGTCATGCGTCGTGAAATCAAAAGTTATGTAACGAATTGCGTGACCTGTATAATGGCGTCAGCTAACCCGAAAGCAGGCGAGTTACAGATTACTCCCACGGCAGGAAAGCCCTTTCAGATAATGCACGCAGATCATTTTGGTCCTTTACCCGAATCCCGTAATGGAATAAAACACATTCTACTTTTAATTGATTCGTGCACGCGGTTTACTTGGCTTTTTCCAGTGAAATCCACTACACACGCGAAGTGATCAAGCATTTCTCTTTATTGTTCGATAACTACGGAAATTCTTAATGAAATTGTAACCGATCGGGGAACTGCATTCTCGTCAGCCGAATTTGTCGGATTTTTGCGCCCCCGCGGAATTAAACATCGTATGATTGCGGTAGCATCTCCCCGGGCGAACGGGATGGTTGAAAGAATTAATAGATTCTGAAGGCTTCACTTAAGGTTGTAGATGACCCTGTAGATTGGCCCAACAAACTAGCTGCTATACAGTATGTAATTAATAATACCTTTCACTCTACAACTAAAGCGTCTCCCTCCAAGTTATTGTTAGGATACGAAATGAAAAATCATTCCGATAGTAAATTTATCGAATTCTTGACTGAATTAGTTAAGATACAAACTACACAGGATCAAGATTTACCTTGATTAAAGAAACGAGATGATAGTCGTAAACTTGCAATTGAAACCACCGATAAAATTAAAGAGTACAATAAAATTTATTTTTATCGTAATCATAAAGCACCAAAGAAATACAAAGCGGGTGAATACGTGCGCGTTAAGAATGACGTTGTCAAACCTGGGGAAAGTAAAAAATTAAAGTCGGATTTCAAAGGTCCTTACATGATAGACAAAGTGTTACCACACAACCGTTACGTTGTCAAAGATATTCCAGGGTTTAACATTACTCCTAGACCTTACGACTCGATTGTGTCGCCCGACAAACTCCGACCATGGATAAAACCAGTGGTACCCATGTAAAATCTCGTTATATCAAATAGTTATAAGCTTAGCTAATAGTTAGCGTAAGAATTTTATTTCTGTTGATAGCGGTTGATAAATGTATAAGTGTTACAGAATACCGTCACGTAAACTTAAGTGTTATTATTAAGACAAAATTACTGTTGCATTGATAATTATTCAATTGATTATAATTTGTTTATTTCTTTTCTCCGATTCTGTTTGATTTTCTTAAAACGAAACAGTTAGTCACGTTCGGGACGAACGCAAATGCAGAACGGCCGAGCTGTAAGCGACAACTCAACAGTAACACCTTTAAGTTGATAGTACGCTATAGGAAATGTCCCTAGCTACCGTGAGGCGCTGATCGATGTCGCCTCGAACGCACCAACAGTCTCGACTTGTACTTCAGGCAATAAAGTGATCTCATAACCAATTCTCAAACAATCCTGATATTCCTCGAATCCCTTAAAAAGTGATCGGTTAACCTCGCCACCATTATTCTCAATAGTTTCGGTGTGCTTTTACAATACTGTCACCACTCTGTTGAGCTAGAGATTTCCAGAATACATTTGTTACTTTATTTCTATTAAATACTGTGTTATTTCTTACTGCCGCCCCGTTTGTTTCTCCAACGATCCTCTATACTCAATCACGAACCGCCCCCTCTGCCATTTTCGAAGCTGAGCTGGACTGCGTTCAGATGGTTCAGATTCCTACCCGGGTGCTCCTCGGGTGTCATGTCATCCTTGTTTAACGTTCGAAAAACAACAAGGATGATATGACATCCGGGGAGCACCCGGGTGAGAATCCGAACGCAGCCCTACCGATTGAGAAGGCCATCGACGTTCGCAGTTTGATGTAAACTATTGCGTAGAAAATAATTCGAGTAATTTTGAGTAAGAGTGGCACACTCGCTCGTGCCTGGCGCCCAATTATCGTTCTCGAGATCTTGTATTGTGTGCCGAAGCAATCGGACGTGGAAGAAATTTCGGTTTTTTCTAGGACCGAACGAATTTCGAGCCTCTAATTATCGGTGATTGTAACGAATAAGCTGCGAACGTGCGACGAAGTTGCGCTACGCTCGTGAGTGCGGTTGCAATATATTGAGTGAAATAATTTGAACAAAATGTTCGAGTAATATAACCAAACATAATTATCTATTTTTACACAATTAATCATTTATCTTTACACAATTAATAAGTACTATCAAACAGTTATCCTTTAGCAATAATTATTAAATATTCGTGTAAAATTAAAATTATGTTTGGTATATGATCCGTAAAATAAATGAGACCAAAATTAAATTAAATTTTTCTTTTTAAATATTCAGTCAGAATATTATACATAATAAAATACTTTATTTTTTAATTTATGTATATAGGAACGTTGTAATGTGATTTTCAAAATTTCAAAAATACAAAGGATAAGTCGCAATATTCAAATAACAAGAAAACTACAATGCGAGAAATTCGTAATACAAATAATTCTCAATTTTACACCCAGAGAAAAGTTATGTTTAAATTGAAGAAATCATTTTCTTTTGTTGGTTTTTTAAGTTGAAAATAATATCTTTGAGGAAAATATAATTTATTTAATTTCAAGACATTTTTTTTTTACGTTTAAATCAAAGAAACTTTTTTTTATAGCAATGCACAACTTTCTTCAAATATTTTTTTAATCAAATCAACTTTTCTCTGAGAGTACCACTTAAATATACATACGAAAAAACTACTTATTTTATTTTATTTACAAATTAAAAGGAATTCATTTTGTTATGATATTTATGTTTTTTCATCTTTCTAACGTATGAGTATTTAATGGAAGACAAGCCTCTATTTCGAACAAAGGAAAATATGTGTGATTATTTGAAGGTTTAACAACATAAGCTTTATAGTGGAAATTGTACTGGATACATATCAATTCTTGACATATAAAAATGCACTCAAACACATTTTCAGAATTAAAAAAAATTTTAATAATTTTGAAAAATAATGGAACATTGTCTTCAATATCTAAAAAAATTACATTACATTTATTGAATCTTGTTCCATTTGTCTCAAACCAAGATATTTCGTAATAATCACTTAAATTAAAAGGTAAATCAAGGTATTGTGCAATGTACACTAAATTTTAATATTTTTCCAGTTTTTATTTTATCTGATATACCTACTTTTGACATACACCTATACAGAAAGTTTAATTGACTTTTTTTAGCTAACGTTGTGGAAATGTCCACTAAGGAGGCCTGACTCGAAGCTTTGTGGTCGGCCGCAGCGTTTCGTCCTGGTCCCACACTACTAGACTCATCAGTAAGGCGATGTAGTGTGGGACTTGCCTTAGACGCCTGGAATGAATCCAGAATGATATTCTATTTAAAGGGAATTCGCGCGGCGCGGTGCTTACGCGAACCGAGTGAGTCCCGTGGACCTCTAGTGGCGAGTCGCCACAACGTTAATGGTAAATTCTTTCTACTTTGTATATTATTTGCATTCTTTTTTAGCTCTTGGTGTTTTGCTTCAAAACGCATACAAGATAAATATATGAGTGGTTTAATCTGTGATATTATATTAGGGTAATGAATTAAAAAGTGATGATTGGGTTTAAGAGACGAATTAAATAAGTTAAGGTACATGTGATGATGCTCAGATATTAGATACTGTAAGTATTATAACATGTTATTTGATATTTGTGTTAAAATAATTATATCATTTATTTCTTTAAGAATTAGATAAAAATGCCAAACTTTATCATTTTCTGGAACTCTAAATCTCCAATAATTAAATTAAAATGTCTTACTAGACATAGCATTTTTGCTGCGGAAAAGATAATGCAACCATTTGCTAAATGATTTTTCGTTATTAAAGGCGGCTTATTTTTCTCAAAACTGCTGTAAGGAAAATATTTAATTGGAGAATTTAACACTGTCAATAAAAAATATTTTTATTGTATGAAATGTTTTATATATAGGGATGAAGAATGCGATGGTCCGACTAGAGCGCACAGAAAGATCAAATCTGTGGCTACGCTACGTTCCCGAATACTGATCCGCAGAACGAAGCGTCAGCATGCTCCTTAACTTGATATTAAAGACTGAGGATG